CGCTCTGCAGAGCTCTTCCCTAGAAGCCACGGGTTTGGGAGTTGCATCATTACGGGACAACCACGTGTTTCTTTCCAGAGAAAGAAGTGCATTTGTCATCTTCCTACTCAGTACAAAAAGCTGGGAAAAGTGAATACAGGATGCTTTAAAATATATAAAAGGGCAGCAAAACAAGGCCCCCAGGCTTTACAAAAAGAAAAGAAAAGAAAACCCCACTTAGTCTCCTAATTTTCCAGCTGATCAGGGCGATTTGAGGCCCTGACTCAGATCTGGCTGTGTCAGAGGGGTTGAGGATGTGAGCACTTCCCAGGCATATTCCAGGAAGCGCCTGACTATCGCTCATCACTTGGCTTGGGGATGAAAAAGGAGGAACGACAGGTTTGTTAGCAGAAAACCAGCAAAGCTGAGCTTTGTTTTATTTMCAAAGAAAAAAAAAAAGGGGTGACTCAAAGTTTGCACAGGGAAACTGGTGAAACRCTGCAGGAGTCAGATCTTGACCCTACCGGAGTCAGTGGCCAAGCTCCCGTTGGCAGCACATGACTATGGCCATTTGCAGATACACTCACGTGGGCGAGTGTGAAAAGGGAGAAACTCACCCAAATCAAACAAATAACTTGCAAACGGAGCATCCCTTCTCAACTAACTATTCAGACAAAATCTATCTACCAAAATTTATCTATCTACCTTGTAACTGTATTTAGCGGTATGCGGAAAGGGGCAAAGCGTATTAATCCTTAGGCTAGTTAATCTGTTACTTATAGGCTCCAAGTGAAACACAGAATATCCTTCACTTCGCTGTTATTTCACTAACAACTTCCAATTTCACAAAAAATAGCTGTAATGCAATTTGCTTCTAAAAAGTGTATTCCCCCCAATGTCAAAATACAGCCGATCATCATCTTTTTTTGCCTGATTTTTTTGCTCCTGCCTGTGCCTATCACTTGAGATACTGAAAGGAACTATTAAGATAATACAGCCTGCAAATTAAGCTCTACAAGTGCACAGCCAAAATCCTGCTTCAGAAAGCACCAGCAGGTAAAGTTGAAGACAGTTCTATCCCTTCTGCCTCCCCTAGTCTCATCCTGAAAATAAAAATCAAGCCCAAACTCCTCTTCTGGCAATGACTTAAAAGGAATATTTATTTCAATTCTGTCAACTAAAACTAAAAGTTTCCATCTTCGTAATTTCATTATTTTTCCCTCCAAAGACGCACACAGATTAACTACCATACAACAAATTTCATTTTATTATATAAAAAAGTCAAGCGAGTGGTTTCAACTACAAGATACTGACTTGGACGTCCTAAGACTGTTTTCAGTCCAGTATCCAACTTTCAGCTCAATGCAACACACAACATTTACGTCTTTTAAAAAAATTGTATTTCTAGTATTGCCAAAACACACATGCACTTTTACTTTCTTGGGAGAAAATGTGTCTCTTGATTCGTTTCCAATCTGTGTATTCTTGCCAGCAATAAAATGCTTGAAGAACCAAAATGAATAATCATTAAGAGCGTCAGCAATTAAAGCTGCAAATTTTAATCAATACATCTATTAATGCAAAGATATATTTATCTTGGCCATCAAAAATGTGCAAAATCTTAAAGTCTTAAGCATACCTGGCCTATTAAGTTATTTTTCACAGATTTGAGGAAATCTAACATCTATGGCAAATATATTACCAAACATGCTTTAGTCTTTTTTTCACTTCAAGTAATTTCTGTGGTTCTGCTCTTTTTTTTTTTTTTTTTTTT